ATTATTATCATTATTATGACAATCATTTTTTTCCATTTGTGCCTCTTTTTATTTAAAAAAATTGTTTTCCAAATTTTATTTGATTAAAGAACTGTGAGTTACAAAGTTATTCATGGTTGGGTTTTCCAAATACAATGTTCCATCACCATACTCCCAACAGTGTCAACTTCCCTCTGACAGTGCTCCCAAGTTCCCTCTCCTACTCTGCTGTCCCAGCTCTAGCCTGCCATCTTGACAGATGCCTTTGACCTTTGATTGTGCCTCTTTTTAGAACAGTTCTTTAGTTTTTTTATTTTTCTAGCAAAAAAAAAAAAACCCTTTAATTTTGACCTTCTCTGATGCCCGCCCCCCCCAAACCCACACATGCACTGAGGTGTTAGTAGTTATAACCCAAAATATACAATAGACTTGATTGTTTGCTCGAAGACAGAAAAAGTGAACTGGTAGCTGCTTCTCCATCGGAGGTCTTACTTAAGTGAACAACTTTGTAGAACATCTTGTAACAAACCAAATGAGCCATGGAAAGTGTGCCATTCATCTCTGTCACAACTTGGATGAACTTTTTCCATTATTCTCTGTGAATCCGAACCTAGGAAACTTGGGAAGAGCATTTTTCTGTCCTTGGAGTTAAATCACTCATTTTGACTTGAGTTCAAAAATTGTAGACCCTCACAGAGTCAAGTAATTTTCAACAAATGGACATAAATAAATTTAAGTGGGGAAATGAATGCCTCCTCAACAGTTATTGTGAGAATAACCGGATAGCCCCAGCTGAAAGAAAAAAAAAAAAGAACACCTCATCTCCTCACTACACAAAAACTACCTTGAGATAAATCATACATCTAAATGGGAAAACTTAAACTAAAGTTTTTGATTATTAATTTGGAGTCCACATTATTATTTTGGGGCCACATCCATCCAGCCTCAGAGGCTACTTACGGGGTGGGGGTAATTGTTCTCCGCCATATTCTGGTGCCTGCTATTAAATTCAGGGCTTCCACATGCAAAGAAAGAGCTCCAGCTCTTTGAACTCTCTCTCTCTGGCCCCAAACGACACCAATTTTAGTGAAAAACACCTCTAAGACTCAGGGTGGTCAAAGGTTTCTTAAATCAAAGAAAGTAGTAACAATGAAATAAATTGGTAAATTGAAGTTTATCAAAACAGGGACACTCCTAGCCATGGGAGGAAAACAAGGTTAATAAAATTATTAACAAAATTCAATAACAAAATGTCTTTACCTAAACAAAAAAATTGTTTTTAAACCCAATTAGAAAAGACTTAGGATTTGAATAGAGAGTTTGCAAAGAAGCATATACAAATGACCTATAAGCACACACACACAAAGAAGGTAGTGTCCTTTTCTTCAAATTAAAGACACAATGAGATGCAGTGACCAGCTCACCTGTCCATCCACTAGAATAATCACCACCAAGTGTTGATTAGAATCCCGAGCAATGGGAGAGCTCGACTGTTAACCAGATAGACTAATTTTCTTATTTCATGAAGCCTTTTGATTTTTAGTTCTTTTTCTTGATTTCTTTTTGGGCTCCCAAGCAATGCACAAGAAAGTCAAGAGCTATATAAAGAGGAGAGAGAGAAAGAGAGAGAGAGAGAAGAGAAGAGAGAGAGAGGAGAGAGGGAGGAGAGAGGGAGGGAGGGAGGGAGAGAGAGAGAGAGAGAGAGAGAGAGAGAGAGAGAGAGAGAGAGAATAACTGTTCTGGTGTTCCAAGATTGCAGAATAACTGTAGCACTGTCCTTCTGTTGTTCATTGATTTGCTCAAGCAGGCACCAGTAACATCTCCATTGTGAGACTTGTTACTGTTTGTGGCATATCCAATATGCCACAGGGAGCTTGCCAGGCTCTGCCATGCGAGCGGGACACTCTTGGTAGCTTGCCGGGCTCTCTGAGAGGGACGGAGAAATCGAACCCGGGTCAGCCGCATGCAAGGCAAATGCCCTACCCGCTGTGCTATCGCTCCAGCAGAATAACAATAAATGATAAAATGTGTTTTTTTAATTCCATATAAAATAAGAAATATAATTTCCAAGGCTTGATGTCAGGCTCTCTCCAGGGGTAAGAAAAGGATTATGCCAGGAATCCAAGTCACTTGAAGAGATAAGGGTTTCACAGAAAAGTAATGAAACTGTTTCCGGCATCCTGAGGGATGGCAGCCAGCGTCCTGCAGCATGAGACCTGTGTTACACATCTCTGAGTGCACGGGAGTCTGGGATCAATTTCTCCCTTTTCTTGTGTGGTTGCTGCATGACTTGGGGGGAGGGCGTGTCCCACACAGGCCTAGTCATGGTTCTTGCTGGGCCACATAGTGGGCTGCGATGCTCCGCACTTGGCTGAGACGATCAGAGGGCATCTCACTCATTTTCACTTCTGGCATTGCACACACTCTGGTGGTTGTGTTTGCTGAGCTTGCTTTGGGGTCACACATATGCTCACCCCTGGGGATGAACGTCCTAGTTGCTCCTGGATCTTTTCGGTTGCAGAGCTCACTGGGGACCACACTTCTTGATTTCCTTTATTTCTTTTTTTGTCCCTTATTTTTGGTGCTCACTCCCACCCCAGCTACGTACTAACACAAACCGAATCAGGATCACAGACAGGAGGGCTGCCAAGACTGGGTTTGGCACATGCTATGAAACCAGGGACTGGACTCTTGCCCTTATGCTTGGAAGGCAGACATGCTTAGCAACCAGTTTATTTGTCACCAGGGTCCTGGAATCTAATATTTTCCCAAGCTGAGAGGTTGAAATAACCCCCACCACTGTAAAGGGATGGTAGAAAGGGAGTTCCTTCTTTTGCAGAGAGACAGTGGAATAGATCAAGTAACATGGGAAGTTCATCAAAGATCTTTATCTACATGCCTTGGGCAGACAGCAATCCTCCGATATAAGGGTCCATGTCAACTCTATTCGTCTTCTTTAAAGCTCTGTACTGTAAAATGTTTGCATATTTGCAGGCCCTGAACTGAGTTCTTGAGAGTTTGAATTATGTCACATTCAGGTTTTTGTTTGTTTGTTTGTTTGTTTTGCTTTTTGGGTCACACCTGGCGATGCACAGGGGTTACTCCTGGCTTTGCACTCAGGAGTTACTCCTGGCGGTGCTCAAGGGACCATATGGAATGCTGGGAATCGAACCCAGGTTGGCCACGTGCAAGGCGAACGCCCTACCCACTGTGCTATCTCTCCAGCCCCATCAGTTTTTTTTTTTAAATCTCCATTCTCAGACAGTCCCTGGCATACAGTGGGCACTCAATAAATGGCATTAGCTAAATGTGTTGTTTCCTCCTAATTTGGCTGAAATCTGAAACAACACAACACTGCTCACTTAGGGTCATGCGTTAGTGGTTCGTCAGTGTTTTCCAGTGAGGGGAAGTAGTCCGATTTGCCTATTGATGAAGAAACGACGGCCTCGGGGGAGAAGTTCCCATTTGCCAGAAGTCCCCTTGCTTGGATCATGCAACATACGTTGGGACACTTCTAGGTATAGAACTCCCAAGATTCCGTATATTTTACCCAAACACAGAGCCTTTAGAACCTACAGATCCTGCTCTCCTCATCTAAGCAGAGGGGTACAGAGGATGACCTTGCTGCCCACCTGGAGACCTTTGTGCTTAGATCCCTCCACCGGGCACCTGGGGTGCAGCCAGAGTCAAATTGGCAGAATGAGAGGCTGCAGCCGCTGCTACTTGGCAATGAAGCAATACCCACGAAGGAAAATGATACAAAATAATTTTAACTGCCTTGCAGTCCTTGAACCTTGACCTAGTCATTTTCTAAGAGCAAATATTTCGAAAAAATAAGAGAGAAAGATGAGAGAGGAGTGAGGGGAGAAGGGAGGAGGATTGGGGGAGGAGAGGTGAGTAGTGTGTGTGAGGGGGGAGCTGATTTCATTCAATTCAGACAAGTGTTTGTCGCGAGTAATAAGCCCTTGATAGCGTGGGAAACACTTCACAGCTCTCAGACCAGCCTCCCCCTCTCCACTCTCCTTTTATTCTTTTTCTTCCGTCTCACCAGAACTTCTCTCCAAGAGCAAGTAGTTATTTTTCGATGGTGTGGGAGCAGGGACAAGAGAGGGTGTGCTAAACTCGGGTGCAAATTATTTCGAAGCGTATTTATTTTTCGGTCCTCTCTAAAGCAATCATTCTCAAACTTGGTGCGTCGGTACCATCCTGCCAAAGAGGGTCAGCCCCAAGGTCCGATGTCATCGATCAGGGGTGCGGCCTGGATACAGGGGTGCTTTAACTCCCCAGGTTGAAAACGACTGACAGGACAGTGTCACTCTTCTTTTCCACCCTGGAGAAACAAACCTGGTTCTCAGCCCAGGTCAGGACCTGCGACGTCTGGCACCTGGCCCTAGGCAATCGCTGCTTTGAACGCCGCAAGGTCCTAGAAAATCCGCGCGCGCGACAACGTTAAACACCGGCTTGCGGGCGGGCGGGGCGGGCGGGGCGGGGGCGGGACCGCGTGGAGCCCCGCCCCCGCACGCCTATGGGCGCGCGGTGCGGGCCCTGACGTCACTCTTGTCAGGGCCGCGGCACATGTGCGGCCGGATGCGCTGAGCCGGGCGCTGCGGGGCCGCCAAGCGCGGGGGAGCAGCGGCTGCCGGCGCGGGGCGGGGGGTGGGGCGGGACGGCGCGCGGCCTCGGCTGGTTGCGCCTGGGGGCCGGGGCGCGCGCTGCCTTCCGCCCTTCTGCAGCCCTGTGCGTCTCTCTCTTTTTTTCCTTTTTTCTTTCTTTTTTCTTTTTTTTTTTTTTTTGCAATTTTGAACATTTTGCAAGACGAGGGGGGCTGGAAGCAGGTGAGAGCATCCTGCACGTCGCGAGGACTCCGCGGTCACTTGGCGCGCTCTCTGGAGACTGTCTGCGCTGGGAACCCGAAAGTTTTGTAAATTTATTTTTGTATGCAGATATATTTATAAAGAGATAAGTTTAAAAAAAACAAAAAAAATTTTTTTTTTTTTTTTGCATTCCCTGTCTCCACCTCCTTGGAAGCGAGTGTACTTTTGGCAAAGGACGGAGGGGGGGAAAAGCTCAGCAATCTTTTGAGGTGTTATTTTGCTTTTTTTGTTTTTTTTTTGAAAAAAAAAAAAAAGAATAGACATTGAGTGCATCGCGACGGAGAAAATGTCCCGACCGCTCCCCTTGAACCCCACCTTTATCCCGCCTCCCTACGGCGTGCTCAGGTCCTTGCTGGAGAACCCGTTGAAGCTCCCCCTTCATCACGAAGACGGTGAGCGTTGCCGCGGCTGCCCCACTCTGGGAAGGAACCGGACAGTCCCGGGAGCGGGGGGTCCCCCTCTTTCGGCCGGTCCTCCCCCCCCCCCACCCCGCGCTGAAACATCCATTCCCGCGCATCTATCACTCCTGAACAGGGGAGATGCAGGAGTGGGGGAGCTCTCCAGGAGCGATGTTTAAGAGGGCGCGGGGACCCAGCCTCCTGGTGCTGGTGCTGGTGGTGGTGGTGGTGGTGGGTGTCCCCGCTTCTGCGGGGCGGTGGGAGGGACAACTTGACAGGTCAGGGCTGTCCGCAGCTGGAAGTGCACTGGCCAGCAGAGCGCCTCGGCGGGCTCAGGAGGAGAAAGCAGCGGAGGGGGCGAGGCGCGGCCGTGCGGGGTGTCGGGTGCACCCCCCGCAGGCTGGCTCTCCGGGCCGTGCGGTTGTTTGTGCGGTGCTCGGGACCTCGGAGGCGTGCGCAGGGCCGGGAGGTGCGGAGCGCGGCGGGTGGGTGCTGGGCGCGGGTGGGGGGGGGGGGGGAGGAGTGGTCTCGGCGGGGAGCCGCGCACGCCTCCGGCGCTGACACTTTCCCCGTGCACTTTTCCCGGTGGGAGGGGAGCGCGGAGCGGGCTCACGTGGAACTGCGCAGGAGCCTCTTCGGGCTAGAGCCCTTTCTCGGTAAGTCCCCCAAAACCTTCCCCCCTCACCCCCCCAACCCAGGCAACCTTGGCCGTCGTTGGAGAGGAGGGGACGTGGCCCCCGGGAGGCGCCAAAGGCACCTGGTGACTCTAGGGCCGGGGGGGCGGGGGGGTTTAAGGTGGAGGGGGGGAACTGTCAGTCGTGGCTGCTGAGACTTCTTGCCTGGGAGCCCGCCGCGCGATCCTGAGTGTAAAGCCTTGCAGCTTGGGAGTTAACTGGTTTCCTCTCTGCTAGCTGAGCACAACCTGTTGAGCTGCCAGAGTCCAGGTGCTGGCTCGCAGCCTGCAGAGCCAGGCTACCCGCCTTGACTCCTCTCTGAGGAGTAGCACTTGGCAGGAAGGTGCTGCCTGCAGCCTTTTGCATCTGTGGGTGTTTGAAGTCAGATCAGCAAGAGATGAGACTGGAGAGGATGAAAAAAAAAAATTGGGTGGCGGTGGCGGCTGTGTTTCTCTGAGGAAGAAACTCAGAAGCCAAATTCCCTAATCCCAGATTCCACCCGCGCCTGAGTACTAGATTTGGCAAAATCTCGAGTGCTGATTACAGACGGTTGGGTGGGGGTGGGGGGGGGGGCTTGGGGGGCGCAGCTCGAGGTTGCTTAGGGGCTGTTTTGCATGCAGAAGGTCAGCTGGATCCAGACACCAAATGGTCCCTCACCCCCATATCCCCCGAGGGTGTGGTTCCCCAAAGTAAAACAAATAAAGCAACCAACCCGCCTTCTCAAGATCAAATGGGTGAGTCCTCTTGCAGGTAAAGTCTGCCTCTTCCTTCCTGGATGCTGCCACCTTTTCAGGAGCTGGGCTTTGCACAGGTTGCAGCCTTGCCATTTCGGGGCTTCTTGCTGCCCCTTGTGTGTTTGGGAAAGAAGAGGGAGACAAGACTTGATTTTTTGTTTTGTTTTAAATTCCTTTTGTAAAATGTAGTATACCCCTGGGGGGTTAGAAGCAAACACATATGGGCTCAGGAAGCTGTCAGTTTTCTTCTGGTTGGCTAAAAAGCAGTCAAGTTCCTCTAAGTCTGAGAGACTGCTCCTTTCCTGCAAATGGGGCTCATGGGCCCTTTGCAGGTTCATTGTGAGGTTTTTGGACACAGTATGTGGAAGAACCAGTCAACCAGTAAATGCTCAGACCTGATAGCAGAGGGTGGAGAGTCTCTGGTTTCACCCAGTTAGAGCAGAGCCGAAATCTAAATGCCTTCAGATCGCTCTTGTAATGAGTTTCCTGGGAGATAAATCATGCCTGGATTTTAGCTCTTGGTTTAGGACCCCCGCCACACACACGCATTAGTTGTTTGGGCAGGTGTCATTTTTCCACTGGAGATTTAAACAGTCTTCTCAGTGCAGGTGTGGATACTGGGGGTCTCTTGTTTATATCCTCAATCAGTCTGCCTTGTCCCAAAGACTAATGCTTTTTTTCCAAAGTAAATAGGAAGATGTTGAAAAAACAGACAGAGATCCATGTCCTGCCTGAACTTTTAACTCCAGACCCGCAGAAGCCAGCAGCCAGTGAAGATCGCTGGCGTGTCTGAGAAATAGTTTTGTAGCCGAGGCCTGAGGGGTGATAAAATAACAGGGACCACAAACGAGCATTCCCTGAGTGACACCCTTTCTTTCCTTTAAAGTCCAACTCTTTCCTTTTCCTGCAGCGTTTAGTAAAGAGAAAGACAAAGAAAAGAAGCTGGATGATGAGAGCAATAGTCCGACAGTCCCCCAGTCGGCCTTCTTGGGACCCACCCTATGGGACAAAACCCTTCCCTATGACGGAGATACTTTCCAGTTGGAATACATGGACTTGGAGGAGTTTTTGTCAGAAAATGGCATTCCCCCCAGCCCGTCTCAGCATGAGCACAGCCCACACCCTCCAGCGCTGCAGCCGGCCCCCTCAGCGGCCCCCTCTGTCATGGACCTCAGCAGCCGGGCCTCTGTACCCATGCACCCTGGCATCCAGACATCGAACTGTATGCAGAGTCCCATCCGACCAGGTAAGCTCTCTCCCAGCTTCTTCCTTCGGATGGGCGGAGGGCAAAGGGGATGGGCTTGGAAGAGGGGTGTCAGCATCCCACCGCAGGCGAGAAGATCGTGGCATTTCAGCCACCGCCTGGTGGTGGGCCCGCTTGGGAACTTCCCCAGTGCCTGGAAAGATGGCTGACTCTGATTCTGGGGCCCTGCGCCTAGAAATTCTGATGGATGCTACTCTGTGGTGAGAGCCCAGGAATGTGCATTCTAAAGCAGCTCCCTGGGGGAATGGGGGGGGGGATACTGCTGCAGCTAAACCCAGGGATTACTATTCACCACCCCCCACCCCCCACCCCCAGTAAATAGCCTGGATAATGGAAGCATACATCTCATCTCCTGCCACTTTTCTTCATTCCCCAAATAAAGGAGTATGGGTTGGGGCGAGCCCTGTCTGTTAGGGGTGTACCTACATTCTTTCTTTGGCCTGATGGGAGGAAAGCAAGTGAGCTTGGGTCATGGGGAGGGTCTCTTTTTCTTCCTCATCCTGTGTTGTGATTGATTGCGCGATGGCATCTAAAGGCAGTTCCCATTTCAAGCCTGTCTTTGCCTTATGTAGCTGCTCTCTCTTGTCTCTTTTTCCATACACCAAATGGTTCTCAGAGATTTTTTTTTTCCTTCTTATCTGTCACATTGAATCCACTTTTCTCAAAGCTAGGCAAGGCCACAAGGTTGGCTGTAAATTGTGTTGAAATTTTACACAGAAGCATCACCTGAAATGACCAGAGCTTCAAACCCCACTGTTAAGTGCTCAGATACTAATGCAGGTGGGGCGGCTTGGACTTCCTGCCGCTTGCACCCCGCAGCACCAAACGAACAGGAAGAAAGGCCATTTCATGTGCCCAGGCGACCAGGAACAAAGATCCAGCCAGATAAATTGTTGTGAAGGTGGCTGAGCTGACGCCCTGAGCCACGGGGGAGGACAGAAGGCAGGACAATGGGAGACTTGTGCTAGAGATCATTCCTGAACCCTGTGTCCTCGACGCACAAAGATCTGTGGTGGCAAGAGAGTGAGGGAGACTGAGAAGGAAGGAAATGGTGCAGAGGAAGGAGAGTATCTGCACCTTGAAGCAGGCAGAGGGGGTTGGCACCTCCCATGCTGAGTGGACCCCTTCTTCGGAACCCACTTGGAATTAGAGTTTAAGCCTTCTGGCTGCAAGGGAATTCAGTCTTTACCCTTGACCACCCTCTGGAGGCTGCAGAAACTTGGGGGTAAAGCTCCTATGAACTGGACTGCCTGTTACTGTGGGTGGATATGCCGTTGTCTGCAGTTTCTTTCAAGGAACAAAGTACCACTAAAATGAGTGTCTGTGGGGGGTGGGGGGAAGGGAGGGAAGGAAGGAGAGATAGATAGATAGATAGAGAGAGAGAGAGAGAGAGAGAGAGAGAGATTCTGGACAAGTGGGACTCTCACTCCTTGGGCTCTGCAGAGTAAGACCACCTGAGTGAGTGACTTAAGAAAGGGCCAGGATCTCTCAGTCGCAGTTCCTGTATGTCAAAGGGTATCTTTTCTACTTGGTTGTGTTATTGTGAAAAGGAGCGACCATATGTACAAAGTGTTGAAATATTACCACTAGGTATCCTGTTAATGAGAGCAGTTACAATCATTGATCACGCTGTGTTCATTTTTTATTAATGATTTCAACCCCTTTCTCATCTCCTGGAATACCTTCTTGAAGTTAGTAGATACAATCTGTGGCTCTTTCTGGAGAGACCAGTAGTTATTGGATTGGAGTATTCTACCCAAACGTTTATACTCAGCTGACACCTGTATTTCACTCCCCTGCCAAGTATAGGACCTGTGTCATGTTACAGAGACAGATTTATTCCTCCCCACCCCCCAAGAGGCATGCAAATGTGAGATATCCTTGGTTTCAATGCGAATCAAATTTTTGGACTTTGAAATTTGAGGCTCCCTTAAAAGCCTTTTGTCAGAATGCATCAGAATCACCTCCAGTGTATGATTCTCAGACACTGGGGGTACACCTATGCAAATTGTGATCCATAAAACAGGGTTCCTATATTTCAGTGGAGACTGTTTCGTTAGGTTGAGAGAAGAAGGATGAGGACCTTAGGGGGCACAGAGATCTAGAAATAAATTCAGGGTCTTTTTTGATCATGGTAACACTGCAGAATTGAAAAGTTAGTGATAGTCTTGACAGAACAACAACAAAAAGTTCTAAGGTCTTCAGATCCCAAACACAGATGAAATAACACTGTGTTCATACAACATTGATCTCTGTGGAGATTATCATGCAAATAAAATTCCAGGGGGACAAGCCCTAGATGGATAATCTACCCCAAGCAATCCTGAAGGGAGAAAATTTTCGATAATTTCGTGTCATTACAAATGGTGATCAGAATAAAAATACCTAAGAAATCCTGAGGAAAATGAGTCCTTGGAATGGAGCAGCCCAGATGTAGTCTTGTGCCGTCTAGGAATTGTATCGTTCCTTTCTAGATAGATACCTCAACTTCTGTCATGTCCCTGTTGTTTAGTTTTTGTGATGACGACTGCTAGATTCTTGGTTTACCAGTGTGGCCTCTGACCCTGGGTTCCAAATACTACCCCCACCCCACCTCTTCCATCTCAGCTGTGACAAGTAAAAACATCTCCAGTCAATGCTAGCTAGCTGTCCCCTGGGAGCAAAAATCACCCTTACTGAGAATGGCTAGTCTAAACTTTCAATTGAATTCAGATCCTGTCTCACTCATGAATGCTTTTAGCCTCCTACAGTGTTGGATAGTAAAACTTTAGAGAAGGTCAGGAAATCAGGTTGACCAGACAACTATAATTGTTAATAAGAGTGCAGGTATACACTTGGGATTTGTTTGTTTGTTTTTGATAAGACTGAGACATCAGGCTAAATTAGAGATGATTGCAGAGTAATTTTATTGAACATTTGCTTTCTGCTATTTGCTCAGCATGCATAGTTTTGAATCATGTCGCATTATGCCATTCATTATGTCAAATTTTAACCTGCCTGGTTAAAAGGAAATGAGGACATAGCTGGCCAATGATGATGAATTTCCAGCTCTATCCCAAGCTTATCTTGGGATGACTAGGGGAATAGTCTGCTCAATTTGCTCAATTCGCATTTACTGCAGTCCCTTTCCCCGTTGTCTGTACCTATCCTATGCCCATTCTCCTAGCTGCCTGATTGAAGAATGAATCAGATATCTAAGAAACACAATTTTTCTTTTAAGAAATAATTCAGGTGCCCACTGAAACCTCCCATGACTAGGAGGTGACCACTGAGCTTCTGAAGCTGGCGTTTTAAATGAAGAACCATGGTTCCCAGCAGCTGTGGCCTCCTGCCACGGGCTTCCTGGTCACCTGAGGGGCAGCGTTCTGAACCTTCCCAGGCCAGCAGCAAGGGCAGGAATCACCCAGTACTTCTGTGTTTGCATGTCTGATGCGATCTACAGTGATGTCCAGGACGGCCCTCCTCAAGGTATGCCCTAGCTTCTGGAAAAATAAGAATCTGCTTGCCTTAAGAACTTTAGCGGTGGCTTTAAGGACAGAAATCCCTGTAGGGAAAGTCATCTATGGCAGACAAAGGCAGAGTTATTTTTAAATCTCAGGCTTGTACAACTAGATTTGAAATCTTTTCCTTCGGTGATTTTTTTTCCCCTCTGACTCGCTTGGGGGTGTCCTGCCACTCTCAGGCTGAGTTTCAGCTCAGAGTCCAGAAATCTCTCTCTGGGGTTCTGAGCAGGAAGACTGGGGTTATCATGGTGACTGGCTACAGAAGCCAAGTGCGGGTGTGTGGGAACAGGAGGGCATCCATGGGCGGCACGAGCAGAGTAGGGAGGTGGGGTGAGCCCTGTGCGTCTCGAGACGGTGTGCGACGGTGTTCATATTCTGTGTCTGCCCGCCTTCCTGGGGGCTCAGGTTTTGGTGGGCGAGGAAAAGGCTGGCCTTGGGAGCCGAGTGATGAGGAAGAGCAGCTCAGAGCAGGCGGGAATCTCAGATGCCAGAGACCCTGCGGGGAGCATGGTCCAGCTTTCCCAGCATTCTGAGGCGAAACTGGAGTTTTCCTCTCTCCCTGAAGGGCCTGTGGGTTTCTCTAGTGCCGTGACTGGAGGCTGGAACTCTGACCAGCCAGCACTGGCCTCAGATCCCTTGGGAAGTGCTTTCCATTCATTAGTACTGAGTCTGTCAGGAAGGAAGGGGAGATGGTCAGCTCGCTTCTGGGGGCAGGTAAGCTTGCTTTGGTTTCTGGTGAGACTTACCTTCTCTGGCAAGAGAAATAGTACAGTGTGGAAGGCACTTGCCTTCCAGTCCCCTGTGCCATGTGTAGTCCCCCAAGCACTGCAGGGAGTGACTGCGGAGCAGAGCAGGACTAAGCCCTGAGCACCTCAGGGTGTAGCCCAAAACAACAACAAAGAGTTTATCTTCACTACTTCTATACTTGTTGTTACTATTTTTGGCATATCAAATACATTACAGGTAGCTTGCCAGGCCCTGCTGTGTGGGCGGGATACTCTTGGTAGCTTGCCGGGCTCTCTGAGAGGACCAAGGAATCGAACCGCGGCTGGCCGCGTGCAAGGCAAACGCCTACCTGCTGTGCTATCACAATGGAGACGTTACTGGTGCTCGAGCGAATTGAGGAACAATGGGATGACAATGCTACAATGCTACTTCTCTACTATATCTTCTTCCTGTTCTCTTGGCTTGGTTCTGTGGCTGCCTTTCCCAGGACAGGCGTTAGCTCCCTGCTTCCTGGCAGGAAGTATTTTCAGATGGGTATAGGGGATGGAAAGGGGTCATGTGGGTGCTTAAAAGCGTCAGCTCTGGACCTGTAGACATTGAGTTACTGCACAACTTTGGGTTAATGACATTGCAGTGTATTCATACATAAAATGGTGGGGTGGGGAGGGCTAGCAGGGTTAAATAAGGGAACATATGGCAAAGTGTGGCCAGGATCTGGCCCCTGAGCGTGCTGTATGTGAAACTGTTGTTACG